GTGAGGAAAAATTTCTTTACTGAAAGAGTTGTTAAACATTGGAACATGCGGCCCAGGGAAGTGGTTGAGTCACCATCCCAGGAGGTATTTAAAAGACGTGTAGATGAGGCGCTTAGGGACATGGTTTAGTGGGCATGGTGGTGTTGGGTTGATGGTTGGACTCGATGATCTTAGAGGTCTCTTCCAACCTTAATGATTCTATGATTCTATGATTTTTTCTTAGCACTGATGCTATTTAGCAGCAACTTTATTATATAAGAAGTAATTAGTGAAGAAATGAGCAAAATTTAATTTTACTAGACGAGGCCTGTAGACTCAAGATAAAACGAAAACTTCTGATAAAATTACCCTCTGCTAGGTACTAATTGCCATCAGATATGTACAGGCAGTGGTATTAATGTAGGTTGAATTTACATGCAGAAAGTGATTCTGTAATTAGAATGCTATACGTTGCTTAAGCTGAAAAACACCTATTGTATTTTTAAAAAGTGATGAAATGGTAAAAGAATAAATATATACGTGTACTTCAATAAGCCTCCAGAAAGGAATGACTGTTGCCAAGAAGTTCAACAAGTTATGTAATCATTGCAATTATATGTATCCAAGCATGTGAAAAAAACATCAATGCCAACACAGTACAGCATTAGGCTTTACAGTGCGTTCCCCCCTGTTCCAAGCTTACACATGCAAAAACATTTTTATTTTGAAATGGAGCTCATCCATGAGTTACTGAAATATCAACTATTATCCAGTTACCTCCATAAGATACTTTTTACTGATTTAAAAGCTTTTCTAGATAATAAGTCTCCTCTCCTCCTCCTTAGTCTCTTTCTCTCCTTCTGAACTGTTCTTGATCCTCTGTATTTATGGCATTTTTTAACACGTGTTGCACAGCGCCTTAGGTACTTTAGCTTTTTGTATTGCTAAGGGCCTTCCACCTGTAATCCTGCAGCCTGTCTCTTGCAGCTCCCTACCCCTTCACACAATCTCCCAGCACAGCATAATCCAGAATGCCTGTGGCAGTATTTTTCCTATGACACTCTTCTTTGTTATTCATCCCCTGGACTTATACTTGCAAACCCTGATACTGTTGTTACGGCAGGTTCCCAAGGGAAGTGACTGCCACTGATGGTAGAATCACCCCTTCTTTCTCCCCTTCCCTGATTTCTGCATTTAGTTGTAACTTCTGGTTTACACTACAGGACTCATTAATGCATTTGCAGAAAACTCAGCAATGAACCAGCTGCATAGCACCTTTCCCAGTCAACGCATGCTCCCAGCAACGATAACAGCATCATAAGCAGGAACAACTCATGAGGAGTTTTGAGTACGTCTTGACATAAAATACAGAGTTATTGTGGGAAAAGTAAGATGGGGGAACCACCTGCTCTACTGGAGAGGGTGCCGAGGGCTGGACACTCACTTCTCTTCCTGATTTGCCACTGAGAACGGTTTTTCCCTTTTCTTTTTCTCACCATCTTTCTCTTCTTTTATTTTTTTCCCTTTCACTCCTCCCCCCCCCCCGCGCAATAACATCCACCATTAGAACTGATGAACGCCATCACATACAGACCTGCTAGTAAATCTTCATGCAACACACAGTGGTCTGTTACTACTCTTTCCATCACTTTCGTGATTATATAACAAAAAAGTATTATTAGTTTTTATTTCCGTTCACATATAACACATCTTTTATTATAATACTTCTATTATTACAATAGTATCGTTATGTTTTAGTCTTTTATTTTCCTAATTTTACTTTGTCCTGTAAAATTGAATTTGAAATATCACAGATAATTTTGTATTCTGTTACTGCATATGCTGTTGTGGAGTTTTCCTAGCACCCAGCATGTGCTAAAAAAAAAGTCTTATGTTTCTTAAGCAAATCCAAATCCCCATTGATCTTAAGCATTGTTTAATCTATACCATATGAACCTGAAAATTGAATGCTGTTGACATACATTAACTTCCTCATAACAGGATGATACAATCGTATTCTTACGTACTACAGAGTAATATTTTCATGTTACTGATGTACATTTTCATGTACTTGATACTACAGAGTAACATGGAAGTAACATTTTCAATCACCTCCTAATAGTTCTGGTATGATTGAAACAGAAAAAAAAAAAAATCACTGCGGATCAAGAGATTTCAAGTTTTTCAGAGTATAAAAACCCTTATGAAATACGTGGCATGAACTGGTTATTTCACAGTGGAACTAACATTTTGTATATCAGTGATTTTCATAGTATGAACACTTTTAGCTGGTGGCAACCTAAAAAAAAATCAGTTCTTGTGCATATATAGGAGGCAGACAAAAATACATGAAAGAAACTAAAATCTTACATAAGTGACTACTCAGTTACAATATTATTAACATTGTATATGCTTTCCTTACCCTGGACCTCTCCTCTAGTTTTGTCATCATGACGACAGTTGCACCCCGTTGCTCCCACATCATCCTCCAGAAGTCACCAAAGGTTTCTGGCAATGCCCCTTGTGTTGCTATGTAAGCATTCTGTTTTCTGTATCCATCTATGTAGTTGGCATTAATATAGTCACTGCCTGGTATGCCTGCAAAGAGAGAAGAGTGAAAACACAGGGCAGCATTTCTGCGCTGTCCTTTTGTGCAAGGGCTAAAAAATCCTGTGACACAGCTGGATCAGTGTATCTTAGCTTGTTGCATGCCAAGTAGTACATGGGTACTTGCAAGTAAGTGTAGGCCATTTGTGGCACCAAGGGGCATGATGGCCTCTCTGGGAATAACCATTCTTTTGAAACAAAGGACTCAGTCTGATAAAGAAGTATAAAAGAAGCCTGAAAATAAAAGAAACAGATGGAGAGACCTGGGAGTGGAAACAGCAGCACTTAAAAGCTGGTCTGACACTGCCTGCAGTCACCCACCAGTATGACAGCCTCTGCCTGGGTCAGACAGGGAAGCCTCTCCATTAGATGCCCTGAGTAGGCTCCATTTAACACTCTCATTGAGCTCACTCCATTTCTTTTAAATACAGAAAAAGCGTTAATGTTGTCAGACTATTGATATTACTGCTGCGTTCATTTTCCCCATTAAATGAGAAGCTAACTATGAGCTTTATTTTAACAAAACACATTATGTAAGTTAGGTTTAAGAAACAGTGGAATCTGCTATGTGGTGTGTGCATGGAATAAAGACCTCTGCAAGTCTGAATAAAAACTAAATGCATGAAAAGGTGGCAGAATCCAAGACCTGTGGGCACATTGGACCTACACTGTCAATTGCTTGAGGCTCAGGTATTTTGGACAAGACTTACAGGTGGACTTTGGGTGTGTCTACAAGACACATGGCCATGCTTTGAGCCACATGGAAGCGAGCCAGCTCCTAACTGGAATCTGTTTAACTGAGGGTATGCAATGCCATGTCTGTACTGAGAGCTGGACCATAACACGCTGCCTGCCAAGGTCGAGGAGGAGTATTGATTGTAGTCAGGATCATGTTACTAGTCTGGATTAACAAGGCAGCCATGATCACAGAAAGGGGTAAATATGGACATACAAGTTTCAGTTCCATCCCTCCTGGATGTGGGATGGAGCCGTGTCCAGCTTTTAACTCAGACTATGTGCATGTTGGAAGACAAAGCAAGGCAGGCATCAGTTTTCATGTTACTGCTGGTTTTTTAACTGATGACTTGAGAAAGAAAAGATACTCATGTGAGATCTCAGTGCTGGTGGCATGGCAAAGCAGTGTTTCCCACACTACTGCAGTGTTGAACATGGAAGTGTTCCCCAGAACAGTTAGCTGAAATACAGAAGTGTGCATCATAATAAAATGATACAAAAGGTTTGTTGAAGTAATTAACAGAAATTACTTCTTTGAGCAGAAATGAATGATTTAAGTTTACACAGCCAATCTGTCACGTCCATGTCTACAATCCCAGGATACGGTGCAGGTTCCACAAACTGTTTCAAAAGAGAGTCAAGGTGATACAAGCTCCCTGGCTTATTCTAAAGCTATGAATATTTTCACTCCACAAAGCAACAGAGTTGAATTTCTTTGGCTATGAAACACAATAAATTATTGAATATGTTTAAAGAAATGTTTCTCAAACTTTCTGTCGGAAACTGAACTTCCAAATATAGTCTGATTTATTACCTCCTGCTGGTGATCCCAAACCCATAATTATCGGGACTGCACACTCCTGTATTTCCTGACAACCAGTGGCATACATTTGAAAATGTCTTCCACAATAATTTGAATTTGAACAGAAAGTAGAGGTACCTTTTTAACAGTTTTGTTTGTTTGTTCATTTTTAGTTACAATTTGAAGAGTTTCTCCACTCATTCTGGGTAAGCTTAGTGTTTCATTCCACTACTTACTTAGTAATGAACAAATACACTGATTAACTGTGACACTAATTAAGACCCAATATAATCTTGAAATGATTCAGATTATGGGTTACTGCAGCTGTAGTCTGGCATAAAATTTTGCCTTTATGCCCAAGAAAGCTTAATAGATTTTCTTGTTTCATATGTTCAAATTATATTTAAACACAAATTTTAATTTGATTTGACTTTCTGTAAAATTAAAGGAAAAATATGACAAAATATTTCAGGGAAGGAAAAAGTTGGTAACTTCAGGAGCACAAAAGAGGCAGCAAATGGCACTCCTCAGGTAAAATGCATGGATGGACACAGGAAGACTGGCTGACTATGATTAGAACTGATAGAAAGTCTCTTCTGTGAGAAAAATAAAACAAAATAAAAAATCTTTAAAACCTGCATAGTCTGTAGCTGAAAAGCATGAGTTCCCTCCATGAAAGGCAGAAATTGGAGTTCAAAAGCCTCACTCTTGTAGACTTGAAACTTTTTTACATGACACTTCTTACTGTGGATATTGGAATTAATGACTTAGAAAATACAACTGCCAGGCACAATGCCATATTTTCTTCCTTTGTCAAGATAATAAAACATTTTTGCACAAAACAGATGAGAAAGAAAAATGAAGCCAACAGGAGAAATCTACACCAACTGGGTATTATTACCAAAGGAACGGAGAAAGCTGGTAAGAAATGTTTTCTGCATAAATTAGAATTGTATTATGATGCCTGGTATCATACTTTGAAGCATATGTTATAAATAAAAGCCTGAGGAAAAAATGAAAAAGAAAAACAACACTTTGTAAAGTGGTTAAATGATCTTCTGGGAAAGCTGTCCTCTGGAGCTGATACTGCACAAACTCAGCGTGAAAATTAAGCATGAAAAGTATTGCAAACTGTGCACCAAAGAATGCTCTTTACAAATCCTAGCAGCCTATCCTACTACCTGATGTAAAAAAAGCCAGAATGTCTAAAATTGTAAATACTCTTTCTACTTACTAACTTGTATTTTTATTGATAAATTGTATTAAAATAAATAACTTCTGAATGAAATAAATTATAATTATTTAAATTACAACGAAGAAAAGCTTCCAGATTATACCTTCCTTGATCGCAGATGCAAGTAAGAAAGAATTAAGATTAACAATTACTGATATTTGCAAAGAGGATTCTTCCCAGCTTCCACTCTACTTCTCCACCTGCCTTTTATCAAGAGGACACAAAAAATCTGGTACGTTCTTTAGCCAGAAAAATCATTTTACAAGGCAACTTAGTGTCATGGCGCATGAAAAGGATGTTGCTGGGACATGGACAGGAAAGTCCATTTGCTATAGGACCTGAGCAACTGTTAGTGACTTAAGTAATGCAGTTTTGGGAAAAACTAGGTGCTGCTCTGACACTTTGCACCGTGAGAAGATTTTCGTCATATCTTTAGCAGAGTACAGTACTCTATAGGGTTATATCTCTACTGAGATCAAGAGAACAATAGGATTCACAATGCTCAGCTCCATTGTCTCTCTCACCCACAGTATCCATTAGGTGTTTTCTTTGTTCTCCATCTGTTCTCATAGTCCCTTCAAGTATCATACCCATTTCTCACACTGAGTCTCTTTTCATCACTGTTTTCATGCATGACCTCAGATTCACGTCCTGTTCCAAAATCCTTTTGTATTCTGTAATACCATTTTCCCACTCTCACTTTCTGTCTCACACTTTGCCACACCAGTTTTTGCTTCATCAGCTATGTCCCCACAACATGAAACTTAAAGCCCTCTAGGGAAGGTACCTTATCATAAGAGGCCTAATGAAGTGTGTGCAGTTTAAAAATAACACATACAAAACCTGAACATCTGTAAATATCCATACTAACTGAGCTGAAACAATTATCACAGGCAAATAAATCTAAATAATAAAATGTCACTTTCTGCAATGACTTTTCTGGCCATAACCTCATTCTGAGCTGAGAAAGCTGAACAATTCTTTGTCAAGTCTAATAGTGCAAAAACAATCAAATGACAACTAGTTTGACTGCAGTACAATGAAATCCTGCAAACCTTTGTTAGCTGCCATAGCTTGAAGGCAACATATCCACAAGCACAGCAGCAATTGCCATCATTACTTAAATTTGGGTTTGATAGTTGAGAGGTCAGTTGTTCTGTAAAAACATGGGTCAAGAAGGGGACAAAGCAACCACATTCTGCCTTCAGTAATATTGATATGAACCTTAACTAAGTCTATTGGCATCAGTGGGGTTTACTGCAAATTTGGGATGGCATACCTTAAGTGTAAATTTAGGGTAATCTGCACAGTATAACCTGACTTCTACAAGTTTCATGAAGGCAGGGACACAGTTTCTGCACAAAAAGTCAGCTAAAGACTAAGCTTCCAGATCATAATGCTACCATAACTATTTTCTAGTAGCCTTTTCAACTATGGTGATGAATGACCAGAGTCTGCAATCTCCTTATTCTGCCAGACAGGAATCGAGCACAATGGGGGAAGAATCAGATGAGTAGCTAAGCATAAAATACATCCCATTTTCAAATATCTCAAGAGAACAAAGGAGTCCAGATTTTACAGAGTAAGAGTGAATAAGCAATGAAACAAAATTAGCCAATGCCACAGTTAAAGTGCAAAAGATTAAAAAACATGAACTCTATAGCTCCTGATTTATGCTGAGACTGTACTCATGAACTGAGATGACAGTACAGCTTGCTGCAACACAGACTCAGATCCACAAGGCTAATAACGTAGACCTCAGAATTATTCACTTGATTTCCTGAAGACAGTTATAATCTTAAATAGCTCTAATTAGAGTTCACGTTTTATTCACAAACTGAAATCAAATCATGAAATTATTTCAAGCCTTTACAAAGGCTAAGTACTGAACAGCCTTTCTATTTAAAACAAATTAAACCATAAACCTTTGTTTCTGTGCTGCTTCCCTAAGAGATGTGCTGTTAGTCATAAAAAGAGTGTGAAGTAATAGGATTAAATTCTGTCATGCTTCTAAACAAGCTGGAGAAATGCAGTGATGAACTCAAAATGCTGATGAAGCTGTGCTATCGGTTTAAATCAATGACTGATGCTTTGAACTACGTCAGAGCAAAAATGAACTAAGGCAGCTACTAGGTGCCAGTAACAACTGTTTATGTAGCAGTTTCTGTAACATAAAATCTATATAGTTAAGGAGATAATCAAATTCAAGTGGTCTAAGCA